CTCCTGGGGTTTCTGGTCCGTGGTGTTTGCTAAAGGCTGAGAAGTTGTTTTGTAAAGAAGCTGCCTTAGTTTTGTGTAAACCTGCATTTCACTGACATTTTTCACTGTGGAATCCTTTTTTTCCCCCCCCTGGGAGATAGAGTGTTTCTCTCCTTCAGATGTTCCTGTTCTTGAATCGGCTCTGACTCATGGCAACGTTAAGTATACCAAGTGAAACGTTGCTCCGTCCTCTGCCATCTTTAGAATCGTTGGCATGTTTGAGTCCATTGTTGTGGTTGCTCTGCCAAGCCACCTCATGGAGAATTTCCCCAGTTGGTTTCGGCTCATAGCAACTTCACGCACAATGGAATGAAACCTTGCCCGGTCCTGTGCCACCCTCCCAATCCTTGCTATGCTTGAGCCCATTGTTGCAACCACTGTGCCCATCCAGCCCGTCGAGTGACTTCCTCTTTTTCACTGACCATCTACTTTACCAAGCCTTGTGTCCTTCTCCAGGTACTGGTCCCTGCTGATAACATGACCAAAGTATGAGCCATGAAGTCTTGCCATCCTTGCTTTGAGGGAGCATTCCAGCATACTTCCTCCAAAGCATATTTGTTTGTTCTTCTAGCAGTCTGACATTCGATTCAGCATTCTTTGCCAACAGCACAATTAATATGCATCAGTTCTTCGGTAGGCTTCCTTAGTCATTGTCCAGTTCTCACATATGATGTTATCGAAAATACCATGGTTTGGTTCAGGTGCACTTTAGTCTTCAAAGTGCATCTCTTCTTGAAAATACTTCAAAGACGTCTTTCACAGCAAATTTGCCCAATGCAATATGTCACTTGAGTTCCTGACTGCTGTTCCCATGGGCGTTGATTGTGGGTCCAAGTCAAATGAAATCTTTGACAACTTCAATGTTTTATCCATTTATCGTGCTGTTGCTTATTGGTCCAGTTGTGAGGATTTTTGTTTTCTTTATGTTGAGGGGTAAATATATGAACCTCTAAGTGTGGGATTTTAGCCAAAGGTCAAGAGTGTAGGGGCCAACCATGGGCCCCTGGAAATTGTGGGTGCTAACTCACCCTCCTACTTTGGAGAGGGCCTCTGCTGGCCCTTCTGCAGAAGGCCCTTCCTGTCCCTTGCAGCTCAGGCACTGAGCACACCCTTTGGCCACCAGACCCCTCCCTCTCCTAACACTGGTTCTCGTCTCCTTTCTAGGCAGACATCTTTTCTGGGGCCATATTCATCAATATGGCCTTGGGCTTGGATCTGTACTTGGCCATCATTCTCTTATTGGCGATCACTGGTCTTTACACTATCACAGGTGAGTCCATACAATGGATCCAGCCACACATACCCAGCTCAGGGACTGGAAATTATGAAGGATAAAAGGAAGTAGGAGACATAGCTCCTGTTCTCAAGGAGGAGACATATCTAGGAAACAGTTTGAGAATGGGCTATTTGCTTGACCCCATCTCACAGACCCCACAAATTATATGTATGTTCTCTGAAACCTCCAGCATCAGTTGGAATAGTCAAGACAACTTCTTACAGGAGGTAGGGCAGGGCTTGGTCTTGCAGATATGGAGAGGACCTGGCTAAGCTGGGAAAATCAGGGAAGGAGTGCCAGGCTCAGGAAATGGCATACACAAAGGGATGGCTTAGGGATGAGTATGGCTTAGGGCAGGAGGTAAGGGGAGCAAGTAGGTGGGCTTAGCTGGAGGAGGGTGGTCACTGGGAGGTAGTGGAGGTGGGGATTGTGGATAAGACTTGATTCTTCAAAGTACCAATGAGGTCACACTAGAGGACACTTTAGGAGCCCTGGTGGTGCAGTGGTTAAGTGCTCTGCTGCTAACCGAAAGGTCAGTGGTTTGAACCCACCAGCTGCCCCATAGGAGCAAGATGTGGCATTCTGCTTCTGTAAAGATTTACAGCTTTGGAAACCCTATGGAGCAGTTCTATTCCACCCTATAGAGTCTCTAAGAGTCAGAATCAACTATTGGCCATGGGGTTGGTTTGGGTTATAGGTACCTTGGAAACTAGACAGAGACTTTGGGTTTAAGATGAGGCATGGGAGCCATGTTGGGAGGCAGGGAAGGAGGGAGTTACACAAAGAATGAAGCTTTAGAGGAAGATTCAAGAGGTGACTGGGGGAGTTGATGACATAAATAACAATTGTGTACATCTTTGCAGAAGTGTTATTTTGCCCAGGTAGGGGGCAGGGTCGGAAATGGAACTTGGAATGTTCCAGGAATGGAATTTGCTGTTCAGCTAGAACCCTATC